TCTTGTGGTTTGGAGTCCAGTGTTTATCCTGTGAAGCCACCACACTCCCTACAGTATTATTGTAATTGTTGTCAATAAGTTGAACACCTTTAAAAGATGAATTTGTAAAAGTCACGTGATAGAATTATAAGAATAAAGAGTGTCTCCTGAGGCCACGTATGTACAACCAAACGTCTCATGGGGTTTCATTCCCAGCACAGGAGCACATGTGTATATAAATGCAAATTACACAGGTGAGTGTGTATTTGTCTTCCACCTGAATTCACAGTTGCTCAGTGGTAGAAGGGAAAACTGGGAGCCAGACAGTCTTAACCACCAGTGAACTGAATATGGAAATAAGAAGGACTGACACATGGGTTGCCCAATTCATCAAGAACAGCAGTTACGCCATCGTTTTTGGCAAAGAGCCAGATAATAAATATTTCAGGCTTTTTGGGCCATGTGGATGCTGTCACAACAACTCAGCTCTAGTCTGAAAGTAGCCACAGACAATATGCAAAAAAATGGGCATTTTATTTAGCAAATACATCTCCATTCACAGACACAGATAGCAGCTTGGATTTGGCCCAGGAATGATGGGGTTTATTGATGCCTGAGCTACAAACATAAATTCTTGAGAATGGTCAGACTCTTGTGGAAAAACAAGAAATAATGAGCAGACACTTTGCTAACCAGATATCAGCATAGGTCACAACCATCACAGTTAATGACTTAAAAGTACATTATATTTATAGATAAATTTAGGGTGACTATAATTTAATTTGGAGTCCTGGAATGGCGCTGTAGGATAAGCCCTGGACAGCAAGTTCGGTTTGAACCACAAGATTGGAGGTTCAAACTCACCAACTGCTTTTCAGAAACCTTTTATAAGGTTGCTATGAGTCAGCACCGACTCAATGGCACTTAACAACAAAATGTAATTTAGAGAGGATAGTTATTTTTATTTATGATTTTTGAGTCTTCCCATTCAGGAATATGTTATATTTCTACTGTCACTCAGATCTTGATAGAGTTTGACAAGGCAAATTTTTAGATGAAAACCTGTAAGTAGAAAAGTAAGCAAAACGTCAGAGGGTCAAAGCCACTTACTTACACGTGAGGTATCTGTCAATACTGTATGGTTGCATGTGGGACAGGAAGGACAACAGTCAGCAGGGAGTCTTATTGGAAATGTTTCCCATATTTAGCTGAAACACTAACAGGCTACACCTTCAGGAATCTATGGGTTAGATCTAAACCCTTCCTCCCACCCCAATGTGATCTAGCTCACATCTCTAAACTTTAGAAGGCTACTTCATTTACCAGCCTTTAAAACATAAATGACAAACTTGAAGATACTTGCAGGGAGCAAGAAATTATAAAAACAATGTTAGCAGTTTGATAACCATAAAAAACAAAATAAAAAATTTACAGAAGACAGTAGCGAACTGGAGGGTGAATCAGAAGAGATGGTCCAGATGGCAACACACAGAACAATACAGAAGAGAGGGTTGTTGTTATTGCTGTTGTAAGTGCTGTCGAGTCAGTTCCAACCCATAGCGACCCTGCATAGGTTTCCAAGGAGTGGCTGGTGAGCTTGAACCACAGACCTTACAGTTCAAACTGACTTTACAGTCCAGCGCGTTAACCCACAGTGTCACACCAGGACTCTGAAGAGGGGGTAGGAGACAAGAGCACAGTGGAAGCACCAGAACCAGGGTCCCAGGAAGGGAGGAGAGTGCGAGAATAAGATGCGGGTCATATTTGGAGAGAAATGGTTGAGAATTTTCCAGAACTAATAATGAAAGACACTAATTCACAGATTCAAGAAGACAAATAAAAAGAAGAAGCAAAAAGAAATCTACACATAGTTAAACTGTGGTGTTGGTGGTGGTTATGTGCCTTGGAGTCGGTTTCGACTCCTAGCGACCCTGTGTAGGACCAAGAAAAAGACTCCATTCTGTACATTAGCCTGAACACGTCCTCCTGTTCCAGGAACATGCTAAATCAGCTCATGCTGCCTTAGAATATCCTTTCATCCCTAGCAACAGCAAGAACTAGATAAGCAGTAGACAGGACAACCCAAGGCCAGATGCCAGATGTTTTCCTTATCCTAGCCTAAGAACAAAAGACCACCAGTACTGACAAATTAAACTGTAACAGCTCATACTTTGCCAAATGTCAACCAATCCAAATATTGTAAAGCTGAAAAACCTAAACTTGTTTGAAAACTCTATAAAAACCCCGCAGACAAAGGGTCCAGGGGGGGCTCCATCCCTCATCCACTGAGTCAGATGAAGGTGGAGTCTGAGCTTGGGCTTGAGTAACTGAGAGTTCAAGGCTCCATCCCTCATCCTCTGCATCCGCTGCATCGGATGCAGGTGGAATCACATGCAGGTGGAGTCAGAGCTTGGGCTTGAATAACTGGGAGTTCGAGGCTCCATCCCTCATCCGCTGCGTCGGATGCAGGTGGGGTCCGAGCTGGAGCTTGAATAAACAACCCTTATGTATTTGCATCGGCAACGGCTCCTTGGTGCTCTTTGGGGACCCCGAATTCTGGGCATAATACCTGTACAGGGTTTCCGAGGCTGTAAATCTTTACAGGAGCAGAAAGCCTCATCTTTCTCCCACGGAACAGCTGGAAGTTTCAAACTGCTGACGCTGAGGTTAGTAGCCCAATTCGAACCACTACACTACCAGAGCTCCTTAAACTGTAGAAACCAAAACTAAAGGACAAATATTTAAGACTAATATATAAAAAGATAGACACTCAAAAGAGTGTCGACTGGGATCTTGCCTCTCCCTGTGAGGAGAAACGAAGAATGATGACAGTTGAAGAAACTTGGGACCAGTTAGTCCAATGGAACACGTGGACATCAGTCTCCAAGACCCTGAGACCAAAAGAACTGGATGGTGCCTAGCTACCACTACCAACTGTTCTGAAAGGGAACACATTAGAAGGCTCTGGAGGGAGTGGAAGAAAATGTGGGACAAAGCTCAAAATTATGTGCATATAAAAAAAAGATGGATTTCCTGACAGAAAGAGACTGCAGAAACATGAAACCACAGCCCTTTGTCATCATTCAGGTCTGGAACTGAACTCATCCTCACGGCTCAATTTTCAGCCAAGTGGTAGACAGGTATACAGTGGCGACAACACTAATATCAACCATTCAAGATCAATAGGGCAGCATTTACCTAAGGACACAGTAGGGTAAAATGGAAATGAGAATCTCAGGGAGGAAGAGGGCTCACTGATGTTACGAGGGGGTTGCAATCATTGAAACAAAGTACATGGTTTGTTGAGTGTAAAACTGATACAACCTGCTCTATAAACTTTCTTTCAATTCACAACAAAATGTTTTTGTTTTGTTTTTTAAAGAGAAAGAAGCTATTCATCAACAGTGAACAGCTGACTTCTCAGTGAAATCCAGAAGAAACCCTATGGAACTATAATCAGCAAAAAGCATTCTCAGGAATTAAAAGTGAGATGAAGACATTTTCATGAAAACAAAAACCAGAGAGTTTGTGGAGAGGAAACTGTAAAGCCTAAACCTGAAGCAGAATGACAGTGAACCTACACGACATGGTAGATCTGAGACGCAAGAAGAAATAGAAAGCGAAAAAAAATATGGGCGTAAGTGTAAGTAAACAATGATAATATGACAATATCAATAATGTCTAGTGAAGTTTTTAAAGGCTTAAAATTCAGAGGAGTAAACTAAAAAATAAACAAAAAATCCTGTATTCTCCAAAAAGAGGGTAATATTCTCATTAAACTTCAATAACCAAACAATTAGAAACAAGAGTGTAAACTTTACAAAATAGAGGGAGAGGGAAACTGAATGATTTTCAAAATGTCAATTTAAAACAAAGGAAGGAAAAAAAAATAGGTTAAAGACCACAAAATACAATGGTAGATTTAAACCCAAGTATACTAGGAACTACATTCAATGTAAATGGACTATATAATACTTCAATTTAAAGACTCCATGCCATGAACAGTTTTGAAGTGTTGAAAGTCAGTGGCCCTCCCGAGCCATGGTCCAGGAGGCCTTTTCCTGATGACTCAGGCCACCCATTGTGACCACACTTAACTGTTCCTTGACATCACACAGCTTTGCTCAGTCAAACGGGTCAGCGCAGACCCTCACCTGCATTTGTGGTGTTGGGATTGCTGTGCTTCTTTGGCTCTTGCATCTGCTTTCTATAGTTCTTCTGTCTCATATGCCATTGGACGACTCTAGCTTCTCTGTGCAGCTGCTTCTCTGACAGCTCCTTGTCCCTCTTCTACACCCATCACTCCTGGTCTCAGAGGATAAGGGAACGTGAGCTGCCGTTTCCAGAGTTCCCAGCCGGGCAGAGGATAGCTCAGCCCTTCTCACAAAAGGGCTTTTCCACAAGGGGGCATTTTACTTTGACTCTAAGAAGTGAGGTACTCCGCCTTAAGGACAATTTCTTATGGAGCCAGAAGCCTTAGAAATTTGCCCCTATAACCCTCACCACCGAATCCCACTCAGCCGATTTCAGTACCACCTGGCATCCTGCAGGAGAAAGAACCCCAAGAAAGCCAAAAAGATGGCCAGTTGCAAATACAATGCCTGCCACGTGGTTCCCATCAAAATGCTGGAAGAACATGAGGCTACCTGCGTGAACAGGAGCAGCATGGAGGAAGATGATACCTTGAGCCCTCTGAAAGTTAGTCTTCCAAGTTCAGAGCAGAATGAACACTACCCTCAGGCATCTCCCTGGTCTCCCAACCCCGATGTTTGGAATGTCGATGGTGCTAATTGCTACCCCATGTTTGTCCTGAAGACTTTTGTTCCCCAAAAGCTTGTTTGTGAAAGCGACACAGGAGAATCTGAGAGAGAGGAGACTGCTGCACAGAAAACTTTCAGACCAGGAAAGTAAGTTACCAACAGGAGAAAGGCAATGCAGGTTTCTTAAAGCATGAAAGGATCACCAGCCTCTCAGAATAAAAGTTGTGCAAGTTAAACTACAGCGACATACCTTTTTTTTTTTTTTCCCCAAAAAGCTTTAAGATATTCAGCTTGCTGGTAAAGATCAAAAGATTTCATCATACTCTGCTGGTAAAGGTGGGATAAGACAAGTATTCTCACAAGAATGTAAATTGGTATCATCTCCACTGAGGGCAAATTGGCGATAGCTATCAAAATTTTCTGTGTACACACGTTTCCGTCGAGCAACTCCACACCTAGGAATCATTCCTGTAAATATATTTGTATGTATGGAAAATGAGGTAAGTACAAAATCATTGCAGTCTACATGCTCTCTTCGGGGTCCTGGTGGGGCACTGTAGAATCAGCACTGGACTGCTAATGGCAAAGTGGTGGTTCAAACCCACCAGCTGCTCCTCCGAAACCCTATACAGGGTCACTATGAGTCGGAACCAACTCCACGGCACTCGACAACACTAACAGCAACGTGCTCCCTTTGGCAGCACATATAAGGGGGCTTCAAAAAGTTCAAGGGCAGATGGAATTAAAAGATAATGAAATTCATCCATGAACTTCCTGAAGCCCCTCTCCCCATATTTATTGCAGCATTATCTGTAGCAGCAAAAGGCCAGAACCAATCTAAATACCCCTGAGGAAGGTCTGATTAGATTATGGGGCAGTTGTACAACGAAACAGTATGCTGCTATGAAAAAGCATAAGAATGCTCTTTCTGTGCTGTTACATAAAGGCTAAGGCCTAACTGTTAACTCAGGGGTCAACAACCTTTTTCTCTAAAACCCCAGCTAATATTCTTGTCTTTGCAGGCCATGCTAATTCAGCGGTGCAATTGCAGCACATAGACAATATACAAACAAATGAACATGTGCTTCCATAATAAAACGTTATTTAGAAAGAAGCAGGCAGCAAGCCAGGTTTGGACTACACGTCAGTTTTCCAAACCCTGCTTTAACAGAAAAAAGCCAGGTTCAAAAAAACAATAAACATGGGGGTGCTCCAAAAGGTGGTAGAACAATCAATCCCATTATCTTTTCAGCATTTCCGTGAACTGGTTGAAGACATCTCGTGTATGGCAGTATTTTGGCAGAGTTGCGAGAGGGAATGTGTATATGCATAAAATTTCTCTTGAAGGGTACACTAGAACGGTGAGGATCTGTTTTTTGTTGTTGTTTTTTAAACACAGATTTATTATCTTACAGTTTTGGAGGTCAGAAGTCCAAAATGGACCTCAATGGGCTAAAATCAAGGTGTGGGCAGTACTGTATTCCCTTCCGGAGACTCCATTTGAAAATCCATTTACTGGCTTTTTTCTAACTTCTAGTTCTTAAGTGTCATTGAGTCTGCCCCGACTCAGTGACCTTGTATGGGGTTCCTGAGAAGGGGCTTGTGGGATTGAACTGCCAGCCTTGCCTATGTTACAGCACCACACCAGGACCCCTAGAGGTGGCCCATATTCCTCAGCTTGTGACCAGTCTCCACTCTGCCTCTGCCTCATGCATTCTTCATCCACATTTAAGGACACTTAAATGTGGCAAAGTGGTGGTTCAAACCCACCAGCTGCTCTGTTGGGTATTGGAGGATCAGCACTGAACTACAAACCAAAAGGTTGGCAGTTCAAACCCTGCAGCTGCTCCTCAGAAACCCTTATGCGGGGCCACTAGGAGTCAGAACTGACTGGACAGCACTTAACAACATAATTACATTGGAGGCCTGGTGTGGCACTGTAGGATAAGTACAGGACTGCGAACCACATGGTTGGCAGTTAAAACTCACCAGTCACTCCTCAGAAACCCTATACAGGGTTGCTATGGGTCGGAACAGACCTGATAGCACTTAACAATAAAGTGATTACATTGGTGTCCTGGTGTGGCACTGTAGGATAAGCACTGGACCGCAAGATAGTTTGGAGAGCAAGGTAGACAATTCAAACCCACCAGCCACTCCTTGGAAATCCATAGGTTTCATAGGGTCACTGTGAGTTGGAACCGACTCAAAAGTACTTAACAGTACTCAAAAGTACCCATAAAGATTACATTGGGCTCAGCTGAACATTCCAGGATACTCTTCCTATATTGAGGTCAGCTGATTAGCAAACTTCATTCTATCTGCTAACTTCACTTCCTGGTGATTCGGATATGGACATCTTTGCCAAGCCATTATAGTTACAACCACAATGTATATATCCAAATGCAATCAAATGCTTACTGCAAAGCAAATACCAAGCATTATCTTATTCAGAGCTATTTCAATAGGTGTTTCTAAAAGATTAGGCTTCTTTAAAAACAAAATCATCCCTAAAAAATTATCACAATCCCTTAATATCATCAACTTTCCAATCATTGGAGTCCTAGTGTGGTGCTGCGGGTTAATGCACTGGACTGCAAGATCAGTTTGAACTGCAAGGTCGGCGGTTCAAGCTCAGCAGCTGCTCCTCAGAAATCCCATATAGGGTCTCTATGAGTCAGAAGCGACTTGACAGCACTTAATAATAATAAGGCCCAATCATTATGGAGCCTTGGTGATGTACTGGGCTGAGCACTGGGCTGCTAACTACAAGGCCAACAGTTCAAACCTTCCAGTCTTTCCTCAGGAGAAAGGTGAGGCTGTCTGCTCCTACAAAGCTTTAGTCTTGAAAGTCAATATAGGGCAGCTTTGAGTCAGAACTGACTCAATGACACTGTTTGGTTTTTTGTTTTGTTATCCAATCATTATTTAAATTTCCCTTATTTATAATTTTCAAAATACTTTTGTTTGTTTGAAAGAATTCAAATAAGATTCATACACAGCATTGAATACGGTCTATTAAAAGGACAATATCTCTGAGGATCCCTACGATTGCCTTCAATCTTCTTAATTACACATGCAAATGTGAACCCAAATTCCCCAAATGTATGCACACGCCTATAAATCAAAATGGGACTGGGGAAGAGCTGCCTCCTCAAAGTAGAGTTCACCATAATGTTTGGTAAGGTGGATGGTCAGAGAAAAAGAGGAAGACCCCCAGCGAGATGGATTGGCAAAATGGCAGCATCAATGGGCTCAAGCATGGCAACGATAGTGAGATTGGCCCAGGACCAGGCAGTGTTTCGTTCTGCTGTGCATAAGGTCGCTATGAGTCGGTACCAACTCGATGGCACCTAACAACAACAACAACAACATGCATCTCTAAAGCAGCTATTAAGCCAACAGCCTTTAAGCACTGGCTGCTAACTGAAAAGTTGGTGTTTCAAAGCTACCCAAAGACTCTGTGGCTGAGACCTGGTGATGTGTACCCGTAAAGATTACAGCCCAGAAAACTCTATGGGGTACAGTCCTGCTTTATCACATGGGGTCACTATGAGTCAAAATCAACCCCACAGCACATAACAACAATGCATGTAACTGACTTGGCGACCACAGAGGACAGAGAGAGCGGCCCCATAGGATTTCCAAAGCTGTACCCGGTCCAGAAGCAGGCTGCCACATCTTTCTCTGAGCAGCTGATGGATTCAAACCACAACCTTTCAGTGGGCAGCCAAGTGCTTAACCACTGCACCACCAGGGCTCCTAACAATGGATCTACAAAATCAAAATATTCTTGAAGAAAACCTGTAGATTTAATTTAAGAAACATTTTTCGTGGATCTTTCTCTTTTTCTTTTTGTGGTGCTATAGGGTAAGCACTGGATTGTAAGGTTGGTTTGAACCATAAGGTCAGAGGTTCAAACTCGACAGCTGCTCTTCAGAAACGCTATACAGGGTTGCTAAGAGTTGGAACTGATTCGACAGCACTTGACAACAACATATCCATTTCCACTGAATCGTTTACGAATCACAGTGACCCTGTAGGATGAAGTAGATCTCTCACACAAGGTTTCCAAGGCTGTAAATCTTTATGGGAGCCAACTGTCACTTCTTCTGCAGAGCAGCTGGCTAGCAACCGAGCATTTAGCCTGTTCTTCACCAGGGCTCCTTGTGGTATGGATGTTGTTGTTGTGAAGTGCCATCGAGTCGGTTCCGACCCATAGCAACCCTGTCAAGGGTTTCCAAGGAGCCGCTGGTGAGCTTGAACCACTGACCTTGCAGTTCAAACGACTTTGCAGCCTGACTCATTAACCCACAGCGCCACACCAGGACTCCTGTAATACGTATATCATTAACAAACTTTGCCATATCAAAATTTTTATACATACAATTTAGGGGCACAAATGATATTCATTATATTACAAAGCCATCACCTCTGCCCCTTTCCAAATTCTTTCATCACCCTGAGTGTCCCTTAGGGGCAATTACATCCTTTTTTTTTTTAAATCCCATGAAACTCTTTATGTTCTTAACCAAGAATGGCTGGAGCTGCCCTGGTAAATTGTGATGTAGTCCCATGACAGAACATTCTACAGCAATGAAGATGATCATACTACACTGAGACAACAGTTTGGTCAATTCTCAAAAACAAAAGGTTGAGCAAAAGAAGCCAGACACCCTATGATTGCCTTTACATAGATTTCCAAATTACGTGAAGCAGCTCTGAGGTGTCAGCCGCACACTAATAATCTCTGTTTCACCATCCAGAGATTCTGCAGCCTGGGGGAGCTTCCTATCATCAAGCTTGAGGCCTTGACTAGCTAGCTATTCACTACTACAGGCCCAGGTCCACGCTGCAGTGTACCCATGGAGATCCTTGGATCTCACCCTGGCCCACCTCTGCAGGTTTCTCTTCTATCCACTTTCCACCTCAAACCCCTGCTCCAGTCACTAGGCTTTCTTTTCTCCACCTGTAATTCTGTGCATTTCCTTCCGCCATAACTGCCCCCTCCAATATTAGCCAGTCTCCTAATTTACCTCCTTCTTCAACATTGTTGTTCCTCAGGTTGAATGAACAGCTCCCTCAGCTGGATTCCCCTAATAGGCTTCACATTCTAAAATCATAGGACTGGGGCAAGATTTCCTTTGTGTA